AGTTATTTAATTGATAAAGTTATTATTTGGTAAGAAATTAGAATTTCTATAAATAAACGATTTTTTTGAAGCAAGAGAAAAACGAGAAATCCCCTCTTGTAAGAAGCATACGGTAATCAGTTAGGAACCGTTGACAATTGATGAACTTCACTCTTTGTTTCCCATGGGTACATCTGAAGATTCGGAAATGAAATTTACTCAGAAAATGTTAATTTATCGAATGGTCGAGAATAATGTGACACACTTTTGTTTTCAAGCTTCTTCGTCGGTATTGATCGAGTAATAACATACATTTTCTCTTGCTAATAAACAACAACAACACCGTTCTCATTCACGCTAGAATTCTCAAAATACTCAGCTTTCAACACAATTCTCGATCTACACTAAAATTCTGCAAATTCTGTAAATTCTCACCTTGCAACAGAGTTCTCGAATTACACTGGAATTCTAAAAATTCTCCAGATTCTCACCTTTCAACAGAAATCCCGTATTGCCCTAGAATTTTGAAAATTCGCAAAATTCTCAGCTTTCAGCACATTTTTCGATTTATAATGGAATTCTGAAAATTCTGAAAATTCCCAACTTGTAACAGAGTTCTCGATTTAAACTGGAATTCTGAAAATTCTCTAAATTCTCACCTTGCAGCAGAGGGGTTGACGGAAAACGTCGAAAGGAAAAATATCGAAAAGGAAAATGTCGATAAAAAAAGAGCAAAACGTCGAAGAGGAAAATGTAGAAGAGCAAAATGCAGAAAAGGCAAACGTCGAAAGCGGATAATGGAAGAAGGAAAATATCGAAAGGAAAACGCAGAAAAGAAGGAGATTTCTTTCTGTTCCTTTGAAAATCACTGAAAGAGATATTTTATTAAACTACATAGAGAAAGAGAGTAGAAGATAAATGATAAGGCCAATAGATCGTGAACTAACTTTTCGTTTATCCAAATCAAGAACGATAATCCAACCAGTAGCTGTTTTGCATTAAATTCTCTATTGAGAAATCATCCATTGAGTGTGTCAAATCGTTGTTGGAAAGCTGCTGTATTTCCTGATGTTTGGGGCTGATGTCCCCGGTGGGGTGAGGGTGAGGCGTTCATCGTAGCAGCCATACTGAACTTCATCATACTTCACTTTTTCGACGAGTGGCTATAATTACTACGAGGTTGGGGATGTCTGATTACAGACGTGTGATCATAAAAGAAATAGGTGAATAAAATAAAAGCAGAAGATGGAATGTATCGCTATTCAGAACATAAAAGATGGCAGATTCTTAGAAGAACATATCGAATGTGTTCTTATTCGAGACATCCTATAATCAAGAACACACGTTTTTACAGTAAAAATCATCATGTACTACTGAAATTTCAGGTCACATTTCCATTGATTTTCCAAATGAAAATATCAGCTGTCAAGTAAAACATGAGACAGACAGTATCAAAAACATCTTTTTCTAACTGATGTCTTATATATATTGAACATTGATGGATGGTTTTTCACGTAAACCAGGAGTAAACATAAGCAAAAAAACGTTTGTCGCCTCCGTTTTATCGAAAAGCTTCTAGATCGAGAAAACATCGCAGAAGCGATTCGAAAAGTTGAAGAAGTTTTAGAACAGTGACTTTGTACAATGTTACCAGTTGCTAATTTACGGGTGGTGACGTGTCCTAAATAACGAAGTATGGAAACAAAATTAATAGATGATGAATTGTAGTACAGTGATAAAAGAGGGACAGTGATTTGTGTGTATACCATCATTGCTACTGTTTTCTTTGTGCTTAACTGAACTATCCAATATGCACAGTATACTTCTAAGCTATCGAGTACTCGTTGTGCACGAATTTGGAGATAGTGGCATGAGTAAATGAATGATGTTTCCTGACTATCGGATGGCGGACGTAGACCAAATGGTACGAAGAAGACCAGAGAACCGTCGTCGGCATAAAAATGATCATCATCAACGTCATAGAAAACTTGTTCATCCATATCTGACGTGTAAATAATGTAGATAGGGGCCGAAAGGACACTTCCTTGGGGTAGACCCCATTCGACAGGAAAAATAAACGAATGAAAATGACGAAAGGAAATAAAAGCCGTTCGATGTGACAGCCAATCTTTAAGCCAGAGCCAAAGGCTGTCTGGCACTGCAAGCCTGGCAAGCAAGAAGTGCAGCATGCCAGACCTTGTCAAACGCAGAAAGAAAGTCGAGGAAAATAACTAAACTCGGTCGATTGGAAGATAAAGAAATTCGAAGTTGTTCCATTAATGATAAGATCCTGGTTTGAAGTCGAAGCTGGGGCTGAAATTCGGATTGACTGGACGGAATGACGTTTAGCTGTTTCATCCACTTGTACAAGTTTTTGTAGTAAATCCTCTCGTATACTTTTGTTAGTGCATTCATAATACAGATCGGTCGCAATTCCTTGACTGACGGTAATGATCCATTTTTCGAGTTACAAAAATTATGGATAGTTTTTCACAAGATGGAACACAGTGTCGAGAAAACAAGTTATTAAACAAAACCGTAAAAATAGAAGAAAACGATGTGGGCAGCTGTTTTATACTCATATTAGATGTTCCAGATGGATCTATTGTTCTTTCTGGATGAATACGAGTGATGGTGTCTAACGCCTCTTGGTATGTTGTTTTTAATACTTGTGCTTCTTCCTGTAAGTATTTTTCCGTGACTTCAGCTAATGCTCGTTCAATGTCAATACTGGTCTCTGGTAGGGTTTTGTGATTTGACAACTGAAAATGGGCAGAATAATGTGCATGTAATTCATTTAAAATTGTTTGCGGATCTGTTTCTACCACACCGTCGACTGTTTGAAAACCTTTGATATGAACATTTGCCTTTTGAAAGTGTCAAGCCGTAAAACGCCAGACGGCATTGGGATCATTTGGTGACGAACAGGTTTTCAGGAATTTTTGATACTGAACGTGTCGATGTTCATTGATAAAGAATGAAACTAATTGTCGTTGTACCAAATAATTGTGGTGATTTCGTTCTTTGTTTATCTATGATGATAATAACGATTTCGAAGTGTATGTAGTAATTTTATTTCTTGTCTTATCCATAAAGGAAGGGAACGCCGATATCTCGTGACTGGAATAAAAAGAGTTAGCCTCGTAACTAACGAACCCAAAAACGAAGAAAGAAGTTGGAGAAGAAAATCTGATGAAAAATGATAAGTAAGATGAAGAAAATAGGGATACACTAAAGCCATAAACAAGTTGTACACCTTTCATCTCACATCCCGAAACACATTTGTTGCTGATGTAGACCAGGGTCCGGTGTAAGAAACGGGCTAGTGGTCGCTTGTCCCATAATTGATCCGTGATACTGTTTTCAATAGCTCAGAACAACAGATCAAATCAATTACGCTGGATGAACGTTTGGATGTTGATCCATTGATTTGACTAATCTGGAGTCCGAGATCTTCACACATTTGTTTCATCTGACGTCCTTTGATATTGTGGCTGGTACAACCCCATGATGGTGATTTTGCATTGAAGTCACCGGCAATTATTGTTGGGGTTGAGCTGGTCAGGTCACGAATTGTTGCTTCAGGCAGTTGTAAACCAGGTGAGCTGTAGACACCAATCACTCTCAATGTACAACACCCCAGATTGACGGACACACACAAAAGATTTAAATCGAAAAAAATGAAGTCGGAAATAACGGCAGAATGAACAAGAATGAGAACTCCACCAAACGAGTTTGATCCGGGGGAAAAAAATCTTTTATAAGAAGGAAACCAGGAACTTGATAAAAAGTGTGGAATGGAGTTCAAATGATTTAACTCCTTATCGTTCAGGTGTTGACCAGTTGTCATTTCTGATACGACTGTTGAAACTGTGGTAATTGCGGAAAAATTCGGTGAGTTCGAAACAGATGGACTAGGAACTGAATTCGGAAAGGTTTGTGTCGGTGGTGATGATGGTACTATTTGATTGATTCGTTTTTTAAATTCTTTTATGACAATGAAAGGAAAGTAAGTTTTTAGTGATCAGCTGATTCATCAAAGTTCTTCGAAAAGCGATTAGACTAGGGCATGAGTTTTCGTAGTAAAAATGGATGCCCCCACAATTTTTGCATTGTGCTTCACCTGAGCAGATATGGTCACTGCCACTAACTAGGTCTGTGCCGCAACATTTACAACTTTCATATTTTGCGGTGCAATCTCGCCGAAAATGGTCAAAACGATGACAACGATGACAAATTAATATTTTCGGAGTGGCAAAAAAGTCTCGAACACTCAGCCTCTGATGTCCTACAAAAATTTTACCTTTAGTTCTGCAGAGCTGATGTTGTTGTGAGCTCATAAACTCAATACGGAAATTCCTAGTACCCGCAGACTGGAAGACTGGTAATGGTTGAACATTTGTAATCGAATCATATTGAACTGCTACTTCATAGAATACTTCCTCTGCTGAAACATGTTGTGGAACGCTTAAAACAAGTAATGACAGCTGAGCCGGTATTTTGTTTGGGTATAGAATGTCACAATTTATTGATGAACCGATTAGCCGGGAAAAATTTTTGTCATCTAACAATGATCCAAATGTGAACTGATCTTTAGCATACAAATTTATTCCATCGAGATTTAATCTTCAATTCATATTCATTGCTGGTCCGATTTTTTGTTTCAATTTTTCAACAAATTGGGTCATCATACTCGGAGTTATATTTACTCCCCTGGACGACGGATGAATTCTGATAGGTGGATAAGAAAATTGGGCTGCGTATTTTTCTGCTGCTGATACGTGTGAACTTTGTGCAGATGCCTGTGACTGCGGTGGTGGAAGAGAAGAACGTTCTCCGGCTGCTGCTAATGGTGTTGTGGATGATTCTATCGGTTGTGGTGGTGACGGTGTTACTCTTGTCGGTTGCGCTGGTAAGCCGGGTAATGTTTCGGTGGCAATAGTAAGGCAACCTGTTATTTGCTTTAACTGCTTTTTTCGCGAAATTTTTGATGTTTTAATTGTAAATCTGTTTTGAA